GGCCCTGCTGACACATAATAACAGCTCAAAAAATATGAGGCTTTTTTTAAAAAATAGGCTCCACACCCAACATGGGGCTTGGCCTCATGACCCTGAGATCAAGAGTCTCATGCTCTACCAGCGAAACCAGTCAGGTGCCTGCAGCTCAAAATACATGTATTTGTCTTATGAACAGAAGTATTTTGGTTGGAGAACCTGACCTACTTTGTTGCTACCATTCTTCTTGATAAGCCTGACAAAGTCCTTGCATATAATTCAAAAGAATCCATAAGGACACTCCATCCCTCCTATAACAGTTTGATTTTAAACATCAGCATTGTGCTAGTGGTAATATAAAATGCACAGCTGCTATACAAGAAAGTGTGTAGGGTCTTCCAAAAAGTAAACAGAACTACCATATGATCCACCAATTCCATTTCTGAATATACCCAAATGAATTAAAAAGCAGGGTTTCAAATATATTTTTTTAAATTTTATTTATTTATGATAGTCACAGAGAAAGAGAGAGAGAGAGAGGCAGAGACACAGGCAGAGGGAGAAGCAGGCTCCATGCACCGGGAGCCCGACGTGGGATTCGATCCCGGGTCTCCAGGATCATGCCCTGGGCCAAAGGCAGGCGCTAAACCACTGCACCACCCAGGGATCCCAGAGTTTCAAACAGATACTTGTACACCTATGTTCATGGCGGCATTGGTCACAGAGCCAAAAGGTGGAAACCACCCAATACCTACTAACAGATGAATGGATAGGGATCCCTAGGTGGCAGAGTGAATTAGTGCCCGCCTTTGGCCCAGGGCGCAATCCTGGAGACCAGGGATCGAGTCCCACGTCGGGCTCCCGGTGCATGGAGCCTGCTTCTCCCTCTGCCTGTGTCTCTGCCTCTCTCTCTCTCTCTCTCTCTCTCTCTCTCTCTGTCTATCACGAATAAATAAATAAAATCTAAAAACAAAAAAAACAGATGAATGGATAAACAAAATGTGACCTATACATTCAATGGAATATTATTTGGCTTTAAAAAGAAAAGACATTTTGATATATGCTACAACGTGGGCAAACCTGGAGCACATTATGCTAAATGAGATTACCCAGTCACAAAAGTCAGTCAAGAACTGTAGGATTCCCCTTCCACGAGGTACGGAGACTAGTCAAATTCATAGAGGCAGAAAGTAGAATGAGATAGAAAGCAGTAGGTGGTTGCCAGGGGCTGGGCAAAGAGGAAAGAATGGGAGGGAAGTTTTTAATGGGCACAGAGTTTCAGTTTGGGAAGATGAGAAAATTCTGGAGATGGCTGATGGTGTTGGTGGTTGCAGAACAGGGGCACTGACTGTACACCTAAAAATGATTAAAATGGTTCATTTTATGTTCTGTATGGCAATTTTTTAAAAATTGCATTTAAACTCAAATAAACAGCATTGTGACGTACCTCCTAACACGTGGAGGAGCTCCCCGGGTCTCTGGAGCTTCCTCTAACCAGGACACGCTACTGCATCAGGCAGCTGGGAGCTTAGGCAAGGTATTTTTGTTTCAACTGATCCCTGGGATTATTAGGAAGCTGCTAGAATTTTAATCTTTTCTCTTTCCAGACTGAAAAGGTCATCCACAGGGTATCTAACCTTAGATAAATTCTTCTCTATCAACTACTTTTAAGCATCAATCTACAAGGAAGTCCCTCTTAAAGAAAATAGAGGAGACAGGGAAAAGAGATACCCCACAATTATCAACCGATACCCCTGTTCAAGTGACCCGCTTAGTGCACGTGGGTGCTAAGGAGAGGAGGGGGTCGGGATGGGCCGGCATTAGGGCTGGTGGGGCCCAGGCTCTGCTGCTAACCAGGGGCCTGGTACAGGGCCGTCCACCAGCAAGGAGTGCCTTCTGCTACTTGCATGGAGTTGCCCATGTGCTGTTCTGTCCCCCAGGAACTGGCTGTCGCCTGGGTGGTGTCCCCCACCCAAGGATGAGGTGCTGGGGAGAATGGGAGCCTCAGGAGCAGGTGCAGGGGAAGCTGCTTGGCTCTGAACCCTCTCCAGATACTCCCCACTCCTAGAATGACCCCATCCCACCCTCCTGGCCTGGACTCCCTGAAGTATAAACCTTCTTATCTACGGGCTGCTGAGAGTGTGGAGCCCTGGCACCTCACTGCGTGCTCCCTTTTCCCCACTTCAGTCCAGTGATGTCTGGACATCCAGGAAAGCCCTGAATAGGATAAAAGGTGACCAAAGGACCAAACGCCCTGGGCCGGGGCGGGGCGGGGGGGGGGAGTGTAGGGGGAGTGGTTTGGAAAGAGGAACAAACAGCCCCCATCCTGTCCTTTGGGAACTGAGATCTGATATGTAAGAGCCTCAGGTCTTATCATACCTGCCAGAGGTGACCCCTCCTTCCCCTGCAGCTTCCCCCAAAGTCAGGGCCTTCCCAGCCTCCTTCAGAGGCTTACACAGGCAGGGGCAGGGGACCATCCTGACCCTTCAGTCTGTGTGGGGCCCCCTTGGATGGGACACAGAAGGCCAATTTGCTATTCGAATGTGGTTGGAGGAAGGAGCACCCTGACTGGGGTTGCAGCCTGTTGGATGATTCTCCTCAGAGCCAGGTTTTCTGGGAACATGGCAAGGCTTCACCCTCCGCTCCCGAGAGCTAGCTCCAGGTTTCCTGACTCTCCTGGAGGAGGGCGCATTTTTATGAGGCTTTCAGTTTTATAGTTTATGTCCCAGATGAAACCAGTTCTGCTCCTGGCTGTCCTGTAGCCACCTCCTAATCCTCCTGGGTGCCCCCAGCTCTTCCTCTTGATACCCCAGGTAAACTAAGGGTATTGACCAGGTGACTGCAGGCTCCTGCCCGCAGCAACAGCCTCCAGTGAAAAGTTACAGCAAGTTCTCCAGGGTATTACCACACCCATACACACACACCTGCCCCACAAAACTGGACAGTGAGGCAAGGGCCATGGTATGACCTTTGAGGGCCTGGGGCATTTTTGCTTTCATGGGCTCCTTCTTCCATTAAAAAAAAAAAAAGCATATCTCATAACTGTTTTGGCCTGAGGTAAATATATAATTATATATCTTAAGAACTTTTCTCCTACTTAACATTGCATTTTTTTCCTTCTGGTTTTAACATATTTTCAGAGGCTTCTGAGAGTATCACTGTGAGCATCTGACTCCGTGCCTACCCTGCCCACTGGATATGTCAGCCCTACACTGAGGGACAGACAGGTGGAAGGGACAAGAAAGAGCCTCAGCCAGGAGGGAGGGCCTGACCTCAGCAGGCCTGTGACCTCACCTCTCTGGGCCTTCCCCAGATGGGGAAACTAATAGTACCTACCTCACGGAGTGGTTGTGAGCACTAAAATAAGATGTTGTATGTGTCTGCCTTGATTAGAATGGTGCCTGGCACAGAAAAAAATCACCCTGAGGGGATCCCTGGGTGGCTCAGTGGTTTAGCACCTGCCTTTGGCCCAGGCCCTGATCCTGGAGTCCCGGATCGAGTCCCGTGTTGGGCTCCCTACATGGAGCCTGCTTCTCCCTCCTCCTGTGTCTCTGTCTCTCTCTTTCTCTCTGTGTCTATCATAAATAAATAAATCTTTAAAATAATTATTAAAAAAAATCACCCTGAAGTGTTAGCTGTCATTAATACTAATGTGTGTTACTGTCCCAGCCGCTCAGCTGACCCTCTCCGTATCTCCAGGGAGAGGCATCGTGGAGCTTCCTGCTGAGAGGATGTCGCATTTAGACCTCCTGGAGCAGATACAGCTATTTTCTTCGAGCTGCTTATTCAGGAAAACTTTGTTTTCATAAAATTCCTCCTCAGCATTACTATGGCTGGCGGCTCCGGGGGGGGGGGGGGGGGTGGGGGGGGTGGAGGGGGGGGGGCGGAGGGGGGACCAGAGCTGCCAGAGAGATGGCAACTTCCTGACCTGAGCCCCTGGTGAGCAGCCTTCCTGGGCAGGAAGCAGAGGCACAGGGCCATAATCTGCCTCCTACTTTTCTCCTGCTCAGCAGGTGTCAGAGCTCAGGGATTGAGGGGGAGGCTTTGAGGCCTTTTAAAATGCAAAGGCCTCTGGGATAAAGGAATGTCTAATCCCTTAACAGTCACACAGAGGAAGGCCTGACAGCTGGGTTTTTCTAAGGGGACCCTGAACCCTTATGTGTCAAGGGCTTTACATACATTATCTCCTTTAATCCAGGCCACCCCTGACTGTAGGGATTACTATCCCCATTTTACAAACCTGCAAACAGAGGCTCAGAGAGGGCCTGGGACTTACTTGCCCGAAGGTCACCCCTACTGCCTCAGGAACCTAAGAGGAGATCTGGAAAGGGAGACAAAGGAAAAGGGAAGCCGGCTTGCCCAGTTCTGCTTTGGCCAGGGCCCACTGGCTGAAATGCACTGGGCCTCAGTTTCCAGAATCCACAAGGGGGACATTGGCCCCACGTCTCACACATTCTGCTGTTCTCACCCCACTCCCTGCCTGGTCAGAACAGATGGCTGGCTGGCTCCTTTCCTGGCCTCCCTGTGGCATTTCTCCAGTCCCTGGAAGGGACAGCCACCAGCCTCACCACCCCTCTCTGACTCCAAAGCAGCAAAGCCCCTTTGGGGACAGGTCTCCGAGGGGACTTATAGTAGGTTAAATTGTTGCTGCACTGAAAGGCAGGTGGCCTTCAAAACCCCAAATTCCCAGCTAATCACAGGGTGACCAAGCAGGGGAGCCATTCTGTGTCCAGCTCTCCGGGCTGGCTCATATTTTAGGAAAAGCAATATGGCAGCAGCAGGGCAGGTGGACTCTGGCCGTAAACAGCTTAGCCCTCAGCAGCACTCTAGTCAGCACCCTTCTCTGCTCACTTGTCTCCTTGGGAACACGAGTAATTCTGGAAGCCGAATTGGGCTTATCTGACCAGGAGTGGGATAATCAGGGCCCCAAGGGAGGGCTGTGCCTGAGAGAACAGGACCGAGCAACAGCAGCCCATCCCCAAGGACCAGGCCCCACCTCGGCCAAGGCAAGTACTCAGTCCTACCTCCAAAGGCGGGCCTCATGGAGAAATCATGGTCCTCCACTCTGAGAAGTGGCTGAGGCTTTCCCTTGCGGATTTTGGTCACATCAAGGTTCTTCTTATATAGGTGACTGCAAAGACAAAGTAAGAGACATTTTCCAGTGGCCCACAGAGGCCTGTGGGGAGATTACTCCCTGCAGGATTTACCTGTTAAGCATCTTTTCTCCATCTGCTGAAGGCTACACACTCACACCTCCCCAGGTCCTCACAGGCAGGTCCTAAGGACCAAACCCTTCCAGAGCCTTCCTAAGGTAAGTTATGATCGAATGACAGCAGTTGGTTTGAATGGTGCAGGATTATTTTTTTTTAAAGATTTTATTTATTTATTAATGAGAGACACATAGAGAGAGGCAGAGACACAGGAAGAGCGAGAAGCAGGCTCCATGTAGGGAGCCTGATGTGGGACTTGATCCCGGGTCTCCAAGATCAGGCTCTGGGCCAAAGGCAGATGCTCAACCGCTGAGCCACCCAGGTGTCCCGGATTATAATTTTTAAAAATATTTTATTTATTTATTCATGAGAGACACAGAAAGAGAGGCAGAGACACAGGCAGAGGGAGAAGCAGACTTCCCATGTGGAGCCTGATTCAGGACTTGATTCTAGGACCCTGGGATCACATCTTGAGCCAGAGGCAGATGCTCAACCACTGAGCCACCCAGGTGTCCCTAAATTTTTTTTTCTTTTTAAGTGTTTCTCTTATCTTACTGCAATATTGATTTTGTGATAAATAAAATTCTGAGACAAATACAGTAGACAAAAACAGTTTTAAAATGCTGGTCCTAGTCAGACCTGATGCTCCTTACATCAGCCCAGTTAGGAGCTGTCTACAGAATCCACTCTAGTGCAGAGCCTCAATCCCAAAGAGAACAGACAAGGTACAGCCAAGGGGGATCAACACCCCAGCTGGGGACAGGGTTGCTCTGGCCACTGAGCCAGGTGGTGGAAGGTGGAGCCAGCCACAGACTGCAGACCCTGGTCCACTCTCCTTCCCTAACCCAGATGACAAAGGAGTCCCTCTCTATTCTCTCTCATCCACACTCACTCTTTCTAGATCATCTTTATGTTTTTTTTTCGCACCACAACCACACATAATCCTAAAGCAGTAAAATCCAAAAAATATATATATTTTAAAGATTTTATTTATTTATTCATGAGAGACACACAGAGAGAGAGACAGGCAGAGACACAGGCAGAGGGAGAAGCAGGCTCCATGCAGGGAGCTCGATGTGGGACTCGATTCTGGGACTGCAGGATCATGCCCTGGGCAGAAGGCAGCACTAAACCGCTGAGCCACCCGGGCTGCCCAGAAATCCAAAATATTCTAAAGCAATATTCTACTGACATGATTATCACTAAACAAAAGGAAGAGAGGAGGGAAAGGGAGAGAGAGGGGGGAAGGATGGATTTGTGTCTGACAAGATGTGAGATCTAATTCTTGACATAAGAAACTAAACAACCTTATCAGAAGTTAGTGTTACTGTAAATTTCGTTATGTGTAGGATATTTAAGGACTCTAGGAAACGAAGAGGTTTTTTTTTTTTGTTGTTTTATTTATTTATTTATTTATGATAGTCACAGAGAGAGAGAGAGAGAGAGAGAGAGAGAGAGGCAGAGACACAGGCAAAGGGAGAAGCAAGCTCCATGCACCAGGAGCCTGATGTGGGACTCGATCCCCGGGTCTCCAGGATCGCGCCCTGGGCCAAAGGCAGGTCCAAACCGCTGCGCCACCCAGGGATCCCGGAAATGAAGAGGTTTTGTGTTGAATGTTGTTCGTTTATATATACACCCCGATTTTACTCTGTTTTTATCACCCTTTTTTTTTTTCCAGAGAAACAGACCTATTTCCTGTTTAAACTCTATAAGAGGGAAGTAATATGTTTCCTCTCTTGAGAGCCCGTTCTTTGAGACACCTTTCTGTGCAATCCTCCTTAGCTTTCATTCTCTGTCAGCTCTGCTTGGATGCTGTAATTTGATGGGAGGTCTAAAGTTGTGCTGATCAAAAGAGTAGCCACTACTATTTCTGGCTATTTAAGTCAATTAAAATTAAATTAATAAAGTCAATAATAAGACAAAATAATATCAATTTTATTTAATTATACAGGCCGTACTAATGTGCTTAATAGCCACATGAGGCTAGTGGCTACTGTATTGGATAGCGCAGATCTATAGCATTTCCACAGTCTCAAAAAGTTTTATTACGCAGTGCTGGTCTAGAGGTTGGTCTGCCCTCCACTCCCCTCCCCATCCAGGTTAAACCCTATAACCTGGGTTTCCCACCTTACAGCACTACCTTTAGAGCCACCTGGAGCTCCAGACCTCCCAACTATTTTCTCCCTCTTCCAGCAATGGCTTTGGTCCCAACCACTTCTCTTCTTCTTCATTCACTTCCTCCCATCAACCTTAGGGATGTCCATATGGACAGCCATCCTACACTCTGGTCACACAATTCCTCAATTCCTAGACTCAAAACCAATTGCTAACCACATTTCTGTGGAGAACCTACTCTGTCCAGTTTCTGTACAAGTCATGTGGAGGACATGAACTCACTGCCCTCACAGGGCTAAATACCTAGTGGGGGAGATAGACAATAAACAAGTGGACAGATAAATGACATAACTTCAGAAAGTGCCAAGTGCCATATCAATGTAATAAAGCAGGGTAAGTAGTAAGAGGGAGATGGGTTGGGGTGGAAGGTGGTCAGGAAAGCCACCTGCGACCTGGAGGGGATGAGGGGCAGAGCAAGTCATAAGAAGATCTGGAAAAAGTACACTCTGAAAGAGGGAATAGCAAGTACAAATGTCCTAGGGTGAGTCTGGCTTGTGTGAGAGCCAGTAAGACAACCAGTGAATTGGAGGACAGCAAGGAGAAGGAAAGCAGGAGGAAGGAGGTGGGAGATAAGACCAGAGACAAGATCATGAGACCCTCACAGGTATAATTCTGAGAAGAAACACATGAAATTCTGAGCAGGGGAGTCACAAGGACTGGCTTAGGACCTAAGAAGATCCTCTGGCCACTGTGTAGAGGAGACTGAAGAGAGTGGAGTAGACATGGGAAACCATTAGGAGACTTGCTGAAAACATGGCACCTGGATCAGGGCGGTAGGGGAGGGAGATGCAGAGAAGTGATCAGATCTGAGAAAGGCAGAGAAGTCTTGATGATGGATTAAGGTATGAGGGAAGAGAGGGCCAAAGATGACCCTGGTTTATAACTTGAGCACCTGGGTAAATGGTGGGGGCATTCCCGAGATGGTAGGTGACATGTTTGTGGTGAAAAGGGGTGCATCTCATTCTTAGCCATCTGGATTTTGAGGTGCCTGTAAGATATTCAGATAGAAGGTGAATACAGGGCTGGGGCAACTTGGGAGCAGGAGCAGTAGTAGTACTTTCACTTCTTTTAGCCTTGCAGTTTCTTAGAGGCCGGGGGCTTGGCAGAGGTGCCTGACCCTCCTCCCAGAACCCTTGACCTCTGCCCTCAAAACTCTCACCCCAGCTTCCTCAGCATCTCCCTTTCCTAGGGCTCCCTCTTGTCAGCTTTCCAACTGGATTCAAGTCTCTCCTCCCTTAAACCAAAACTCATCAAAATGTCTAGACTGCACATCCTCACACAAAATTTATTGAAAAATGGTAATGGTAATTATATTTGTCTTTAAGCTTGTTCTTTAAAAAAAAAGGTCTTCCCTCTTCTAATAAATCCATAATCTTCCCAGAGAGCTGAGTGCCCCGTGCTGCTGCCACATCCTGACTCCCAAGAACTTCTTGCCCCACTTGTATGCCTGACCCGAGGCATTGAAGCTACTCTTGCTGGACGCTGGTTTCTCTGCACCACCGAGGACCAGGCCTCTGCTAGAAACCTGGTCTTTCAGGACCAGGCACTGGGTTGTACTCCTATATCACCTGAGAGCTCATTCTCAATCTCCATTGCCGCCCCCCTGCCCTTAGCCCAAATCTTATGCTAATATCCCCAGGGTCCCGTCCCAGCCACCCTCTCTTCTCCCTTTACCCCTCTTTGGCAGGCTGGCCTATGTCTGTGGCTTCAGTGGTCATTAACATGTTGATGATTCTTCAATTTGTACCCTCTGCTCTAGACCTTTTATCCAACTGCCCAACTGATGATACCCAAATGGATATCCTATAGGCATTTAAACTCAGCACACCTACACTTTGGTTTGGTACATGCTACATTTGAGGTGGTCTAGGCTGAAGGATGGGTGGGCATCCAGTAAAAGGGGAAGGGAAGGAAGAGGCACAGAGGCAGACCAAGTGAGTCTGCAGGGGCATGCAGGGACCAGGCCAGGCAAAGCCCTGAAGATCATGTTAAGAATTCTGTTTTTATCCGAAGGCAATGGGAAAACACTGAAGGCGTTAAGCAGTTGGAGGAAGAAGCCATGATCAGAGTTGCTTTTAGACAAGCCCTTTGGAGAGAAGTCCAATGTAATGTCTTCCTCCCAGTTAGCTGGAATATGGAACCCAAGTCCAATTCCCTTGAAGCACGGTGGTCACTGTCACGGTGCCTCCACGGAGCTTCCCCTTTCGGTCGTGGTCTCTGTCCCAAGCCTGGCTCCAGAAGGCAGGAGATACCAGGCCCAGTTCCCTGCTCAGCAACTGCATGACAGGCCATATTTGACACCCCAGCAAAGACACCCTGGAGAGGCAGAGGCAGAGCTCAACCTGAGGGTTTAGCAGATCACAGACATTAAATTGTGAGTGCAGCCGTGTGGCTCTGCCTCCTGGGAAGCAAATCCCTGCTGGCTAGCAGTTTCCATATCCATTTAGAGGGGAGGATTAGGGAGCGGAAGTCCCAGAATTCCACCCCAGCAGGACAGAGAAGATTGAAATGCCTGTGCCATTAATGAGGGCCTAGAAGTGTTTTGTTGATTTTTTTTTTAAAGGAACCAGTTATTTGATAACTCAGGCCACTAATATCCCCAGCCTTGGGCTATTTGTGTGAGCCAGATGCACTCAATTCATCCTTCCAGTGCCCAGATGCCTTGGCCCAAAGCCTCCAGACTCCCCAGACTCTCTGAGTCCCACCTCAGTGAGGGGAAGCCAGGACTTCCATGAGACCTCAGACCAGCCTTGGGTGGAGAGAGAGGAAAAATGTGCTCACTACCTTTGAGAGGTAGGGCTAGTGCTACCATGTTGAGGTCTATTTGGTAGCCATAAGAGCAGTCATACTGACCATGCCCTTTCTCTGTGCGGGACCTGAGCTGTGGTTACCCCATCATCCCAGTGGGGAAAGCCTCACGACCAGCCCTTTTCAGTTGGAGAAACAAGGTTCAGAAAGATTGGGAAAGGGGATGCCTGGATGGCTCAGTGGTTGAGCCCTGCCTTCGGCTCAGGGCGTGATCCCGGGGTCCAGGAATTGAATCCTGCAGCTGGCTCCCCACAGGAAGCCTGTTTCTCCCTCTGCCTATGTCTCTGCCTCTCTCTGTGTCTCTCATGAATAAATAAAATCTTTAAAGAAAAAAAAAGAAAGAAAGAAATATTGGGAAACGTGGCCATGGCCAGGGAGCAACAGAATCAGGACCTGAAGCTGGTTTCCCTGACTTCCTGGCACCATGTCCCTCCCCAGGCCCCTGAGAAGGTGAGGATCATTGGGCAGCAGGAAAGCAAAGCTGTTCCTGAGCCCAGCACAACTTGAGACACAATGCGGACCAGGAGAAGGATGGCCAGAGGGAGGGCAGCAAACAGGAGAGGAAATATGGAAGGGGCCCCCCGGGCTCTGGGACCAGAGGGAACCAGAAAGTGTTATCCTGGACCCCGAGAGCCCAGAGCTAGATTCCCTCTCAGATCTCCAGGGAGAAGGGCCTCTCTTGCTGGAAAGAAGTTGTGTGCTCAGGAGGCCAAGTTAGGAGGCAGGCAGGAAGGAGTAGGAATAAAGCTGGGAGGCTGAAAGGCAAGGAGAACAGAACAAATCAGACAGCTAAGTGAAAACGGGTTCAAGTGGCAACAGTTCAATAAAGGGGAACACGAAGGGTGGGGAAATTGGAAGCAGTTTTTTTTTTTAAAGATTTATTTATTTATTCATAAGAAACACACACACACACACAGAGAGAGGCAGAGGCACAGGCAGAGGGAGAAGCAGGCTCCATGCAGGGAGCCTGATGTGGGATTCAATCCCGGGTCTCCAGGATCACACCCTGGGCTGCAGGTGGCACTAAACTGCTGCACCACCGGGGCTGCCCTGGAAGCAGCTTTTGAAAAAGCACCCACTGAGCAGAATAATTGTTCTGTGAGGGTGTCTCGGCCAGAATAATTAATACAGAAGGTATATGGGTTACAAGAGATCCTAACAGAGTGTGTGTGCATGTGTGTGTGTGTGTTTGTGTGACTGTATACGTGAGTGTGACCATATAATTTACATGTGAAGGGATGGCTGTGTGTGTGAGACCATGTGTGGGGCGTGCATGTGTGTGCATGACTATGTGAAATCCTATGTATGGTGTGTGTGTGTGTATGACTGTGTGGAGGGGGTTGGGGGGACAGCATTTCCAAGAAAAGAAGCTCCCCTACAGAGATGCAGTGCTCTAAAAGTCAGATCATTTTATTCCTGTTTATTCTATAGCTTAACTCTTCTGTGTCAATGATGAAAGTAATTGTTTAGACAGATGCTTGGCTGAAATTTTTCACAGCTTCATGATTGAACTCCAGCTACATGCCCTGGTGGACTTAGAAAGGCCTAGAATCATGTTCCCCGATGTGACATTTTCTCTGTCCTCTTTCCCAGCCTCTCCCTTCAATAATTATTTTATATTTGTTGAATGTATATGTTTACCTTTTCTTCCATTTTAACATATCCTGGGATGGAGTTCAAGAAACCGTGGTCACCCCTAAGGGTCAGTTCAGTCTGTCCCCAAGCTCGGGCAGGTGTCTGGGAATGACTGCGGGTCTTCTGAGGAGTGACACAGGTATGAGAGCCCAGGCTGCCGAGGAGGATCCCTGAGGATCCCTGAGGATCCCTGAGGGGCTCCTGCTGAACCCTAGCACTGTTCTCGGGGTACAGACAAGTCCATATAATGCTATTCCTCCAGGTGTGGAGGCCAAGAAAATTAAGGCCATTCCACTTTAAGTTCAGCGTTCTCACAAGTACAGCCATCCCAGGCCCCTGTGAATAAGAGCTGAACTTGACCTTGCTTCAGTTACAGGAAGAAAACAGCTTACAGCTTAACGTCCTAGAAAGCCCCATATTAGAATAAGAACAGAGCCCAATGCCCTTGAAAGCCCCATATCAAAATGTAAACAGAACTTGAGAAATTCTTCCACCCCTTCTGAAGATCCCCTAGACCAGCCTATAAAAACTAAGCTGAAACCCACCTCGGGGTCCAAGTCCCTGCTCTGCTGTGTCGGGTGCACTTGGACCCAAGCTCGAGCTGGTAAATAAACCCTCGTGTGTTTGCATCGGTGTCGGCTCCACAACACAGGCTAAGTACATCAGGGACGTTCTAGCCCCTGGGGGTCACTAACCAGCTGTGTGAGTTACCCATGCCTGCGAGCCGACTTTCCAGCGTCTGTAAAATTGAGATGGTGTTTCCAGTGTGTGCTCTGTAAAATAGGAATCCCACAAGAGAGTGCCCCAAAAGTGGGGTTTTCTGAGAAACTGCATAATATATTTTCCTTTTCCAAATTCAGAGTGTCTGCATAATAAAGGTTCTAGAAGCTGCACTATAAAGACATCTGTTTAAAATGGTGCAAACCAGAGTTTCCCAAGTTCCTTTGACCCGGAAACCCCTTTCTCATACAACACCTAGTCACATTTACAGTCTAAAAGCTCAGAGGAATTACCAGATCAAATGACCTCTGAGCTTCCTTCCAATTTACCAGCCTGTAATTCTGGCAACGTAACCAGGATGAGGCTTCCAGAACAGTGCGTCTTCCCTGTATCCTGGACAAAATTCATCTGTTTGCTTTCTGCGTAGGTAACATTAGGCCCTGTAGAGCGTGTAGCTCCCCCAGAGCAGCGGCCTCCTAAGACACTCGATGCGGACGCAGAAAGTAGAGATTGTAACTCTTACTGATAGTCTTTATCTAAAAATAAGGACCCGATCAAGTTTTACTTCTGTATACATATGCACAATAGCACAATGTATATAAGTGAATATACGGGAGGTACGGTTTCAAAAAATTGTCACCGAGAGCGGTGCCTGATTAAAAATAAAAACCAGTTACCTAGAAAATGTGCCTCAGTGTATTACTGCTCACAGTCATTAGTTCACACATGATGAGTAGAATGGGGAACAGATGTGTAACATCTCACACATGCTGTTTACATCTCAGCTGCTTACTCTTTTCTCCATGCTGAACAGTTGTTCGATGTCGGGCCTGGAGTATCGCACTTCGTACATCGGTTCAAACACACTTAATAAGGAACTTTGATTTGTAATGTCACGATTTTTTAATGCAAACTCTGCACCTAACCAGTATCTTGGAAACGTATCCGTCACATGGTGCCAATGGCAGTTGCTGTGTCCACACATGTATTTCTGATAACCTAGCAAATTTTAAATACCTTTTTTTTTCTTTCTTTCTTTCTTTTTTTTTTCAAATACCTTCTTAAGATTGAAATAGTGAGAGGTGCCTGGGTGGCTCAGCGGTTGGGCATCTGCCTTCAGCTCAGGGAGTGATCCCCAGGGTCCGGGGATCCAGTTTCACATGGGGCTCCCTACGAGGAGCCTGCCTCTCCCCCTGCCTGTGTCTCTGCCTCTCTCTCTGTGTCTCTCATGAATAAATAAATAAAGTCTTAAAAAAAAAAAGATCAAAACAGTGAAAGGAAAATTGATACCATTATAAAGCTGTTCCCAGGGATCCCTGGGTGGCGCAGTGGTTTAGCGCCTGCCTTTGGCCCAGGGCGTGATCCTGGAGACCCAGGATCGAATCCCACATCGGGCTCCCGGTGCATGGAGCCAGCTTCTCCCTCTGCCTATGTCTCTGCCTCTCTCCCTCTCTCTCTCTCTCTCTCTCTCTCTCTGTGACTATCATAAATAAATAAAAATTAAAAAAAAATTTAAAAAAAAAAAAAGCTGTTCCCAATCAAATAATTTAAAGAAGTCAACTTTCAGTTACATGTTTTTCTTAATAGTTCCAATGAAATTCCTATATACAGTCCCCCCTCCGACGTTCCTGAGTGCAGTTACTCAGCAGGCCCCCACCGTCCCTACAGGATGTCATCCTGAGCAACAAAGCAACACAAGCCGAGAAGTACAAGGTGTTTTACCCCCGAAATCTTCAACCACCTGCCTTAAGTCAAAATGCTTGGACAGAACAGATACCAGAACAAAATGCTTAGCCTAGTCTAGTTTTGCTCTCCTGTGCCTGTGACACTAGAGAATATTTGTGCCCTGAGACAGACTGGTGGCCCCATCTACCCCTGGCTGGAAAATCGATTCCAGGACAGTGTCACCACTAGCCCTCCTGGGAGCTGTCCCGCTGTGCCCCGGTGCTAGTGGCCTTCCTCGCCTCCCACCCACCACTTTACCTTGGCTTGGGCATTTCCAGCTGCCCTGTCCATCTCTTCCTCTTGGGCTTTCTGCTTTCCACAATAGCCATCAGGCAAAACAAGAACAAAATGAGTCTTGTGAAATAAGGCATTCTGTGAACGTCTATGATGCCACAAGCTGCTCTCCAGTGACCTGCAGCGGGGCAGACCCCCCTGTGCCGAACCATGGATTCAGTCTGTCGCTTTGTGATGGTGCTTCTCCAAGGGGCTGCAAGAGCATGACTGGCCAGATGGATTTTTGCGATTAATATTTGATAGTGATGCTCGTCCCACCCCACCTCCCACCACAGCTCTCCCACCCCCCTGCATGACACAGACACCAAGGCTTTGCCCTCCCTGCTGCTTAGTGATTGGCCATTAGTCAACAAGTTTGTCCTCCTGTGAAATTCTGCTTCCGCTGAGTCCCAGAGCAGCTTTGACTAAAACTGTTACGTAAAAAAAAAAAAAAAAAAAAAAAAAAAATTTAAACCTTTTGAACATGCCAGCTCTTTGCTGAGAGCATTAATCCTTCCCTTTGGCTGCATAAAACCAGTCTGTCACATCCACTAGGGAGACAGCTTGGATTCTGAGTGGATTTGCAGGGAAGACCTGATGGACAAGCTGAACGCATGAATGTACTCCGGAAATCCTGAGTAAACACACAAATAACCCATTTTCACAGGATTGCTTTATTTCTCAATCTAAGAAAGCATGCGTTGCCTATGGCCAAGGATGCTTGCTTCCTCCCCAAATCCACATCGTTTTCTCAATGAAAATACATCTTATCAAAGCATAAAGCCCATTTTGATTTTGAAGGAATGTATAAACCAAAGGAGAATTCAGGATTATGTAAACTCTTCTTCCTATCATGAGCATTAGATTAATTTGGATTTTTAATCCTAAAATGTATAATTTCATCATAAAGTAGCCTTGATTCCTATCCTGGGATATGGAATCATGAACATTTGAAGTGTAAAGATATATGCGGTTATATTTAATCTACTGAATAGGATAAAATGTTTAAAAACTACTTATTACTTGCCTGCTGTGTCTGAGATGGAGAGGAGTTTAGTGTGGTAGAGACAGAAGGAGGCAAGGTTGGAGTTCAAAGGAGTGGTAGCCAGAAGGGAACAGAATTGGGGTGTATTATGTAAGAAAGATAGAATCAAAAAAAGTTCTTTTGATTCCTTTAAGCAAAGTGGGATGACATGATCCACTTTATTTTTTTAAGGAATTCCTATCTGGGATCACTTGTATTCGAGAAGTTATAATAACAAAGGAGGATGGGGTCCTGCCCTAATGGAAGGAATGGTGGGAGGAGAAGAGGAGGGAAAACAGAAGGATGAGACAGTCAAGTCATTTCTGAAGTAGAAGACATTAGCTGACTGAATAGAGGGGGAGATAGAGAAGACAACAGTGATATCTACAATCTAGTTTGGAGGTAGGACTGGTGAATGGTACCATTTACCGATACCCATTAGAGGTGGACAAGTGTGGTGGGGAGATGACATAGATTTTGACTTGTGGGGTTTGAGGGATCGTGGGACTTCAAGATGCCAAACAGGCCGCTGGAGTATAAAGAAGCCTGGAGCTCAGGCTTCAAGGTCTGGACTGGAGAAATAGATTAGGAGCCATCAGTGTATGGTAGTAGTCTAACCACAGGAAAGGGTGAGATCTTCCAGGAAAATAGAAGTCCCAGTGAAGTGTAGAATCCTGGGGAATCTCTACTTTCTTTAAGATTTTATTATTCATTAATCTCTATACCCAATGTGGGGCTCAAACCCACAACCTCGAGATCAAGAGTTGCATTTTCTACTGATTGAGCCAGTCAAATGCCCTGGAATCTTCACTTCTAATGGATGGATGGGAAGCCCAAACAAAAGCGTAGAAGAACTAGCAAAGATATTGACTATGAAAACCAAAGGAGTTTCTGGAAGGGGGTAGTCAACAGTGTTGTGAAGAAGTGAGGGCAGGAAACAGGTTCACTGGGTCTGGCAACCAGAACATTGGTCCTAACTTCAGTTAACTGTAGTGTTAGTTGAAAGATGTGGCAGGAAGCCAAATTACAGGAATTAAATAGGAAGTTGGGAGTGGGAATAATTTCAGTATTTGGACTAATTCAATGGTTTTCCAACTGGCTGCTTCTCAGAATTATCCAGGTAATTTGTTTAAAAGTCCTATTAAAGTTCTTTCCCATAGATTTTGTTCAAAAGCTCACACTTTTCCTCTCTTCCATTTGCAACAGGCTTATAAAGGACTGGCTAGAAGCCTAGAACTATTTATGGATATTGTTAGTTTTCAAGAAATATTTGTTTTGGGATGCCTGGATGGCTCAGGTGGCTAAGTGTCGCACTCTTGGTCTCAGCTCAGGTCATGATCTCAAGGTCATGAGATGGAGCCCTGCATAAGGCTCCACACTTAGTGGGGAGTCTTTTTTTTTTAATATTTTATTTTTTCATGAGAGACACAGAGAGAGAGGCAGAGACACAGGCGGAGGGAGAAGCAGGCTCCATGCAGGGAACCTGAAGTGGGACTCGATCCCAGGACTCCAGGATCATGCCCCAGGCCAAAGGCAGGCACTAAACCACTGAGCCACCCAGCGATCCCCTTAGTGGGGAGTCTACTGGAGATTCTCTTCTTCTCCCCTTGCCCCTGCCCTCCTCTTCTCTAACAAATAAATAAATATTTTTTTAAAAAGAAAAGAAAGAAATACTTGTTTTTTTGCATCCTGGAATCTATCAATTTTTTCTTGAAATCCTTATTTTCAGTAGATCAATTATTGTAATGATGGTATGGAGAAAAACTCAGTTGGAGGTAAGTATAAATTTTTAAGTAATGGCTTTATTGAAGTATTGGTCACAGACATAAATTTACCCCTTTATTTTTCAAAGATTTTATTCATTTATTTGAGAAAGAGAGCATGAATGGGAGGAGGAGCAGAGGGAGAGGGAAAAGTAGATACCCCACTGAGCCAGGAGCCTGACCCAAGGCTCCATCCCAGGACTCGGAGATTATGACCTGAGCCCAAGGCAGATGCTTAACCGACTGAGCCACTCAGGTGTCCCAATTTTATTCCTCTAAACTGTGGTTTTTAGTAGTCAGTGTGTGTAACCATCACCAGTATCTAATTTTAGAACATTTTCATCTCCCACCAAAGAAACCTCATACCTATTAGCAATCACTCCCCCTTCACTTCCCTTCAGCCCCTGGCAATCACCAACCTACTTGGTGTCCTGTGGATTTGCGTACTGTGGGTATTTCATATAAATGGAATCATACACAATTTAGCCTTATGTGTCTGGGACTTGATGTTATCTTTTCTTTTTTTTTTTTCCGGCATGATGTTTTCAAGACTCATCCATGTTGTAGTATGCATTATAACTTCATTCCTCTTTATTGCCAAGTAACATTCCATTGTATAGACAGAACACATCTTGTTTATCTTCAGTCAATGAGCATTTGAGCTTCCAGTACATAATACTATGAATACTTGTGTATAACTTTGTGTAACTATGTCTGCATTTCTCTTGGCAATACACCTGGGACTGGAATGATGAGGTCATATGGTAACTCCTTGCTTAATTTTTTGAGGAACTATCAGTTTTTTTTTCTTTTTTTAAGATTTTATTTATTTTTTAAATTTTTTTTAAAATTTTTATTTATTTATGATAGTCAGAGAGAGAGAGAGAGAGAGAGAGAGAGAGGCAGAGACACAGACAGAGGGAGAAGCAGGCTCCATGCACCGGGAGCCCGACGTGGGATTCGATCCTGGTCTCCAGGATTGCGCCCTGGGCCAAAGGCAGGCGCCAAACCGCTGTGCCACCCAGGGATCCCAAGATTTTATTTATTTATTCATGAGAGACACACACGCAGAGAGAGAGAGAGAGAGGCAGAGACACAGGCAGAGGGAGAAGCAGGCTCCATGCAGGAAGCCCGACGTGGGACTCGATCCCAGGTCTCCAGGATCACGTCCTGGGCTGAAGGCAGTGCTAAATCACTGAGCTACCCGGGCTGCCCAAACTATCAGTTTTTCAAAGTGGCTGCCCCACTCTACATTTCCACCAGGAATGGATGAGAATTCCAACTTCTCCACATCCTCACCAACACTTAACTGTTTTATTCTAGCCATCACAGGGGATGTGAAGTATCTTACTGTACTTTTGATGTGCATTTCCCTAATGACTAATGATGTTTGAGCATCTTTTCATGTTTCCGGGTCATCTGTGTGTCTACAATCCCTTTGCTGTTTTTAAATGTTTATCTTTTTTATTATTGAGAAATGAGTTCTCTAGATATTGATATAGATCTCTTATCAGATATATCTGCAAATATTTTCTCCCATTCACTATTGTCTTTTCACTTTATTAATGATGTTCTTTGAAACACAAAGGGTTTATTTTGATAAAGCATAATTTATCTACTTCTTTCCTTGGTTACTTGTGCTTTTAGTCTTGTGTCTAAGAAATTACTGCCTCATTCATGGTCACAAAGTTTTAGTATGCTTTCTTCTAACAATTTTATAGTTTTTGTTCTTAACATTAAGGTCTTGGATCCGTTTTGAGTTGTTTTGTATATGGTGTGAGGCAGTAGATGTATAATTTTACATTTGTTTATTTCTCTCACAACAGAGGATTGGCCCGTGGCTCAGAGCTGTGGAAAGGCGGCAGTAGACATTTGCTGTCAGATTAGGCCAGAGAGGTCAGAGGGACTCTAGTTACACACAGCCTTATAAACTACATTAAGGGTGTGAGCTTAAGAGATAGAATCAGACCTGCACACTGGAGAAGATGCTGGCAGGGGTAGGGGGAATGATAGGGCAAGACTGGAGACTTGTCCGAGGAGAGGAGGCTCATTAGGGTAAAGGCAGGGAGCATAAAGAGAAGTGGAAGACGTGAGAGAATATTTAAGGAGGCAAAATGGATTGAAGATCGAATAATATAAAGAATACAACTTTTGGTCAAAGCACGGTATGAATAAAGTCACTGGTTTTATTGAGCAGCTCAAACTAGTTCTGAAGGCAACTGTTCAAGAGGCGTTCCAAACAGCTTCTGAGCAATGTACACCCTCCCACAAGGCTTAAACAGTACACACGCTAATGTACACATTAGTCTTTAAGAGTCAGGTTCACTAAATGCAGTCATTTCATATACTTAATTGCAAATGATGCAACAGTATAGGCTTTTCAGTA